AGCGAATTACTAAGGTAAAAGGTTGAACTCCACCGAGAAGCTAACTATTTATGGGACCTGTTAAAACATTTTCATGCAAAGCTGGACAAATAATAAAGCCCTCTTACCCTAAAACGCTGAAAGTAGAGGCTGTTGCGACCATCGACCCTGCCCATGACATACAGGAAGTCAGGTGTGAGGACGAAAGGTGCTCGCTCCCTGTTCACGCCAAGAAAGTGCTTCCTGTTACCCAGGATGTGTCCGAAGTCAATGTGAAACAAGTTCCCTGAGAGGCAAGATTACTTCAGTTTTTTCTAATTATCAGTTAATTTGTTCATTTATGAATTCATTTTATCATGCAGCTTGTTTCAGAGGACAAAAAGTATCTGTCATTTCATAAGAGGATAATAACAAATCAGTAAATAACATGTGATAACAGTAGCCAATAAGGTGTTTTCTGTGATTTGTGCTGCTTACCGTCTTCTCTGATCATGATGTTGTCATTGTGTCGATCGCCTATACCCAGTACATATGTGGCCACACAGTAACCAGCACAGGAATTCACAAATCTCTCCACGTTCTTGAAGTGCTGCAGTCAAATAAAATCACAACAGTTTCACATTTTAGTTGTTTTTTTTTTCCTATTACTGAGGGAAACAACAGAAAGGACCTGCGATTGCTTTTGATTTACTCACAATTTCCTGTAGTGGACACTTGGACTTGAGCCACTCAAACAGAGCATTATTTTTGAAGGCTCCAGTTGCTCCTCCTTGGCTCCTCTGGACCGCAGCGATCGTTGTTGCATTCCTCACAATCTCAATCATACCTGATGACAAGGACATTTTCATTTTGTGCTTCACCTTTAAACATGTTTTAAACTTCAAACACAGAAACCTAATTCCAGGGGGTAAAAAAAACCCTCTCACAAAACACTGTTACAAAAACATGACACTGTGCAGGTGCAGTGGTTGCATGTTGATCCTCTGCCATGTGGGTGGGTGCTTTTTTCCCTCCCACAGTCCAATAAGCAGGCATGTTACATAATTTATTATAGTAAACTGGTCATAGGTTAAATTGGTAAATTGATAAAATACTATACAGAAAACCCCATAACAACATATATAAATAAAAATTTGGGGCGATAGCTGTGGTTGTGAAAAGTCTTATAAAAATGTCCTAGGGCCTGCCTTTTGTAAACACTTTACTGATGAATTTATGGGCTCAGTCACTTATTTTAGGTCAAATATAATAAAAGAACGAGTCCAATTTGAACATTTTGGACATTCTAAGGTTTAGATTGTTCTCTGTTCGGTTTACAGATCAGAGATGGATCCACTCCCCTCTCATTTTAAATGGAGAAAAGGTGGAATCTGTCTCCACCTTCAGGTTTCTGGCACCCACATCTCTGCTGATCTCACCTAGACCAACAGCACCAACACCCTGGTAAAGAAGGCTCAGCGGTGACTGCACTTCCTCCGTGTCCTAAAGAAGAATAACCTGGTTGAGAAGCTGCTGCTGGCCTTCTACCGCTCCACAGTGGAGAGCGTGCTCTCCTGCTGCCTGGGTGTTTGTTACGCAGGGGATGCTATTGAGAACAGGAAGGCTGTGCAGAGGGTAATTAACACCGCCCAAAAAATCATTACCTGCCTTCTGCCATCCAGGAGACCATCTCCAGATCCTCCCGTCTTAGGAAAACTAGGGGCATCACAGGTGACCCCTTGCACCCCGCCCACCACTAGTTTAACCCGCTGGCCTCAGGTCAATCAGGTCACACACCTCCAGACTCACCTACAACTGTCCAATCTGTAATTTTCTCTTTTTTTGTAAATATTTCTCTATATGTCTCCCGTTTGCTATTTATTTCAACCTCCTACTGTCGCCAAAGTGCTTGCTCATAGGGGTTAATATGATTGTTGGGTTTTTCTCTGCATGTATTATTGTAGGGTCTACCTTACAATATAAAGCGCCTTGAGGCACCCATTGTTGTGATTTGGTGCTGTATAAATAAAATTGAATTGAATTTGACTATTTATATACACAGTGACAATAAAGGGGTATTCTGTTCTCTTCTGGTTATTTTTATGACCGTTTTTTTACTGCTTACATTTTTAAACAAATGTCTGTACTTTGTGTTATTGAAATGTTGCATGAAAATTCTGGGTAGTTTTGCTCAGGATAAACAGGTTACCTTGTATTAATGTCGTGAATTGATAGCAAAGTACTGTGTTGGACTGAAACACAGTGGCTGTGGTGGTCAGCTGCTGTGGAGCTTGGGTTAGATCAAGTGTAGTAGACATTCGTTTACAAATGAACTGACGGTGCTTAGATTCAGTCACTGAATTCAGTCTTTATACATTGTAAAATCTAATTAGTTCTAAATAGTTCTCAGTTGCCTTAAGTAAAGCTTACGTAAAATGTCTAATTTGGGCAACGTATTCATTATGAGTAACCTCAGAGCTGTGATCTGCATGTCCGCTGATCACAGCTTGTCCACTAAGAAAATCTACTGGAGCTGACATTAGAAATCATTGTGGGCTGTCAGTATTTTCCCCACGCTGAGCCACTACAACAGATCGGCCCCCATTTATTTATTTTCTCTTTCACTGCTTGTGTCCTAAATAACAGATTGAGATGATGATGAAGAAGTAGAATTTAGATTTGAATAACATTTTTATCTTTATGTACTAATATTATTTTTGTATTACAATAATATAGCAGATACATTTCAGAGCCTGTACTCTTTCACTTTTACTTGAGTAAAGGCGTTAAATCAGTAATTCAGCTTTTACTGGAGTGTTTTTAACACCAATATCTGTACTTCTACTTAAGTACATAATGTGTGTATTTTTGCTGACTCTGTAAACAAGCTATTAATTGATTAGTAAATTATATTAAGTATAACTTCAACAACCACTATTAAAAAGAGCCATCCAGTACCAACTGTGGACACTATTAAAGCACACTAATGCTGATACCTATGTTGTGTCCAGTGGAGATGCAGCCATATGGAACAAGATTGAGGTCCAGGGATTTCTCCTTCCAGATGGAGTCCATCAGCACCAGTGCCTAAACAGAAATATGCAAACATTCATGTGTCTTTTCAACCTGATGTAAAACTACGATAGACTTGAGGGTTTTTTTTAGCAAAAAAGTAAAGTTGTGTATTTTGGGCATACCAAACCTGTTAAGTATATAACCTAGGAGCAACACAAAAAATGAAAAACTGAACTGGTCCAAGAATTGAGCCCTGAGGGACAAATAAAGGAGCAGCGCAGAAAAAGATACGTAGTTATTTATATGAATTTTAAATATAAGGGCTGGTCAGATAAGTATGAAGTACCGTATGATGGAAGTATGAAGTACTGTATATTTACCTTTTTCCAAGCATGTAGGAAATATTCACACACAAAAAAAAATCAATATTCATATTTGAGGAAGAGAATTCAAGTAATCAAAGTAACAAAAGATCTGTCTGACCTGAATGACCAGCATGTCCTGTCTGAGGTCATCCCCCTCTTTGAAGATTATTCCAACAGGTGTGGCGGAGGTAGGCGATGGCATGGGAGAGAACTCCAGCCACAGAGGCTTCTTCTTTGAGGCCATTACTTTGCATTTATCGAGCTACATCACAAAGAAGTAAAGCAGACCGTTTTGTTTGTGTGGGATATTTTTCTTCACCACAGCCTTTTTGATTTAATCAACAACAACAACAAAAGATTACATATAGCTACTTTACTGTGGTGTACTTATTGTAATCAGGAAAAACAGAATAAGTAACAAATTTATGTTGAAGAAAAGTTCAAGTAAGTAATTATACTTGAATTATATGAAGCAGACAGAAAATGTGATGCAAAAAACAAAAACAGGCCAAGGAGGAATTCACAGTGGTCTACTATAATAATTGTACTGTAGAAATTGATAACATTTCCTCAACTATGTACAAAACTACAAGCCTGACCAAGTAATTGCATCTATCTGTCTCCAGTTCTTAACCTGAAACATCATCACAAAGAGGTTGCCCTTTTGATGAAAAGGTCAACCTCTTGCATTGTTTATAAATCCTGCATATAGTAAACTTAGAATATAAGACTAAACCACACACAAAATGCTCAAATGCAATATATAAAAATATACCCAACATTTTTTTATTCACCACACTTTCACATAACCCTAAAGCTCAATGTACAAATAGAGACAGAAAGCCAGCAAAGCTTACCAGGATCCTTCCACATTTAATGCGAGGGTCAAAGGGCAGCAAGAATTCATTTGGCAGGTTACTGTCTCTAAGAAGTCCCTGAAGCCGGAAGGGAGCTACAACAAGATCAACAGATATAATTTAGTGAAGTGGTTTAACAGTGAAACAACAGCTGCTTTTGGGGATTAGAGTCCTTGGTTTCTGAAAAGTTGCTATAAAAACATCTAATGCATTTCAAGGATGTCTTTCCTAGCCTAGGTAGGGATAGAGCTTCTGTTATTCATCAGCTGATGAACACCAGGTGTGCAGCACTACTTCATCTACATACAGGAACCCAGCCATACTTAGCCATACACAGATGGGATTTCTTCGTGTATATTAAAATGGAACTCAACACGAGGCCAGCTGGAAGAAGCTTTTCCAAAGTACATTCAAAGTTACATGCAAAGCTTTGCTAACCTTCTACAGCTGGTAGATAAATAATAATGTAGTAACTTGGAAACAATAACATGCAAGAACATAAAAAAAATAACCATAATTAACAAGAAGCACTCAGAGAGTGCCTCGGCCAAGGTAGCTCACTCTCTGGGCTGTGTTTAGTGTGAAGGGATTTACTTTTAATGAATTTCATTTTATTTGTTTTTTGGGTTTTTTTGTTTTTTTTAAATGTACCTACATGACATTGGCAGAGCCAGAGAGGAGTTGTATTGTGTTTACAGACAGAATGATGTGGGTGCACCTAAACGCTACCACAAACATAAATTCCTTAGCAGAGGTAAAAATCGAGGGAAGTTTAATAGGTCATCTTAAAAATGGCCTTTCCAAAACGAAATGCTTTTGTCACGCACCATGCAAGAACATAAGAACAAGGAAAGTATTTCAGCTTGCATTCAGATGCAGAGGCTCAAGGACTTTTACTGAGAAGCCAGTGGAGCTTACATTTAAAACCTGAATTATGAGAGTGTTATATAACAGAACATAAAGGAAAGTATAATAGGTCCATTTTAAATTTCTATCTTAAAAAATGAATTTTCCAAAGAAACGCTTTGTTGTGTTCCAAAGTAATTCGGATTCAAGGATGAGTGGCTGTTTTTTGATTAAAAAACAACAAACAAACAAACAAACAAACAAACAAACAAACAAACAAACAAACAAACACAAAACAGGTAAATCTGCATCCTTGCTGCCTTTAATTAATCTGAATATTTTTTATGACTCTTTATATGAACTCTATTTTAAGCTCTTTAAAATGCATTTTCACTCTTTTAGGAATTGATCAAGTTTTGTTAATGTTAAAATGTGTTAGGTGAGAGATGGCATGACAAAAATGGCCTGCAGGGTGAAGTTCCTAGATTAAAAGGAACATACAGGCTCGTTCAGTTTTGCCAGAAAACATCTTGATGATCCCCAAAACATGTTATGTACCTGTTTTGCTGCCTCGGGACCTGAAAGACTTGCTGTGGTAAATGAAAGCATGAATTCTGCTGTAAACATTCTGAAACAAAAACAAGCTGAAGTGCACTTGGCTCTGCAGCAGGAAAATAGGTCCACCCAGTAGGTCCACCTCTGAATAGCTTAAGAGAAACAAAATGAATACTTTGGAGTGGCCTAGTCAAAGTCCTGACCTGAATCTGATAGAGATGCTGCACCATGATAAAACATTCAGTAAAAAACAGTGAAATAAAATTAAATTAAATACTTTTAGCTTTTTGAAAAAAAAATTTGATATATTAATTAAGGAAAAATGATGCTCCCTACTTGTAGAATCAAGGTTGGTCTTGTCAGGGTACAGGTTTTTAATGATGACAGCGACCTCCTGCAGGGCCTCCACCGCCTGGACCTGCTGGGTGAAGCTGTCGAGCATGGCCTGACCACAGCCCAGCAGGTAGGCCTCCAGAATCACAGCCATGCGCTGTCGGAAATACGGGCACCCTGCTACCTCACTGCGAACGTACCAGAAGAAGAAGTGTCCGATTCTTTTGCTCTGCAGTGAAAGATGTGAGTGAGTCAGACAGCGTGAAACAGATCTGGTCGCAGTCGACATCTTACTGGTGTAAAAACATTCATTAATGTTCCAGCAGACTGAAACCTTTATTAAACTCACCTGAAAAAAGAAAAACTTTTAAATGAAAGGTATTATTTTTATTCACACAAAAACCTGATCTTTTAATGACTATTGTGAATGAAAATACAAAAATAGATAAATAAAAAGAAAGAAAGAAAATCAGATCCATTATTAAGCTTGTCACAAGCTTTTTATAAGCTGTGAGCCAATCATAATTGGGAGCTACTTTAGTGCTTTTGTATAGTATAAGTATAAAATCGGATTTGAGCACAAAACATCAGGATTCTTGTGCAGATTCTAAAGAGTCAAACACTGTTTGTTATTGTGGACCGGCACACAAACATTGAACCTAACGGGGCTTTATATTATAAGTGGTACCATAATGCTTCAATTCTCAACAGGCTCAATTCTGCAGTTTGAATAAAGTTCCCCCAAGGAAACATTTCCTTGATTTTCACTGATACGCAGAGACAACCAAAAAGGTGAGATGATGGTGTTGGACAGCAGTGTGGAATTTCCAGGGTTAAAGTCTGCAAAGTCATTTTTGCAGATGCTGACTAAGAAAAAACTTCAGAGCACTGTTTCTGAAACATTGAAATTAACACAAATACATCCCCGTGACATCAGCATAGAATAAGAGGTCATCTGACAGGATCCAACACCATTGATTGATCTGGCCCAGAGAGGTCGATGACGCGAGTTTCTCTTTAAAAAAGGTGCGCCCGACACCTCTCTCTCTCCTTAAATGACTGTAGCACAATTTCTTCCTGTTGCCTGTTGCTCTTCTATAATGACCATTATTTTTGCTGTGAATACCGCCTCGTACTCTGGAGTGCATTCCCACAGAGCTTGAATTGATTTTTCTGGCATCACTTAGCAATGAAAAAATGACATGCTGATGTGTACAGAATAGAGCTGATTCCATTCTGATTCTCAAGGTCCTGACTCAATTCAACTTTGACTCAGTCAGAAATATTTAAATTATGATCATTTATCTTGGATATTTACTGTTCAAAGAACCCTTTAAACTTTGTAAATTAAATATATTAATTTCCAAATTAACAACAGATCCTAAAGCAGTTACAATATTGCAACTTTTATTCAACTTTCACAGTATTTCACCTCCATTTTGCACGCCTTGCATATGGCTTTGCTTTTGTCCACTCTTCGCTGTCTTCACAGTTCTTGAATCCAAATACAGCTGCCGAACATCTGTCTTAAGGCTTGTGGCACCAGGTCACTTAACTCTTGCATGGCTTTCTCTTGTCAACCTCTTGCAAGTCTCATTCACAGCAAAATACATTTCTATTTGAAAAACGTCATTTAAGGATTTAAGGAATCAATATCAGATTATTTAAAATTCATTTGAATTGGGAAGTTGATTTTGATCCCTAGTACAAAAATATCTAGTAAGAAGGTGTGTGTGTGTGTGTGTGTGTGTGTGTGTGTGTGTGTGTGTGTGTGTGTGTGTGTGTGTGTGTGTGTGTGTGTGTAAGAGAGTACATTTTTTAGCCTTAGCTCATTCTGGATATTTTTTCTATAGTCTTTGTTACTGTTACTATGACAACATGTGGCTGTAACTTGGAACCAGGGATGTGATGCTGCGATTGCTACAGTGCCGTCTATGAATTGTATTTGTTTCTTTAAGTAGGTTTTGTTTTGTCTCTCTTCATTAGAAAAAGACAAAAAATAATAATTTTGTCTGGCAAAAATATTCTGCTGACAACCTTGTACATGCCAGTACTCTGCAGTCACAGTGGATGCTTCATGACTTACCCGCAGAGCTCTTTGGATGAGGTACCGAGCAAGGAAACTGTCATGGTAAGGTTCCACTTTTAGGATCTGTAAGAGTTAAAGGTGAAGGAAAAGGTCATTGTCACACTTTAATAGTCATTTTAAGTGATTTTACAAATGTCCTTAAATAGTGGGATGGGGGGGATGGTTAAAATGCTTAAATGTGTTCACATTCTACTGGATATATTTACATGACTTAAACAAAAGGTGAACGTTAGGCCTTATGAAAAAGAACAGAACAGAAATGTGGAAAGCATCTTGGAGTAAGGATCAAAGGGAAAATAAAACATGAAGCAAAATGAAAGCTGTCAGAGAAGAGATAAGTGGGTGATGTCTAATGTAACCAGTAAAATCTGATAAATGTCATTGCATTGGTGATGCATTCCACAAAGACTCTAAGAGAACATTTTGAAACAAGTCTGTGGCTTCAGGGAAAACATTTGCCAGTTTAGATAAGCAGTAATCATGATTTTTTTTATGTATTGTAATTGTAATAAAAAAAGCAACACATACAGTCCTGATGTTCAATAGAATGGGGAGTGGAATAAAGACAGATTCACTTTGCAAACTAAACAGGTAGTTAATAGTAGTTTAATTATTTCAGATGACGTTTTGCGCGTCACGCAATATGAATGACTCTGTTTATCAATTTTCATATAAACACATACCTGCACAAGCTGAAGCAAATACTTCAGCACATCATCATTCGACAGACTCTCCAGTCTCTTCACTGCCAGTCTCCTGACAAACTCATCTGCAAAATCCATGCTTAGTAGCTCCAATGCCACTGTTACATCCAGTTCCTCAGATTGCCAGTATCCCAGTAGCCAGTGGACATCTTCAACCGAATTGCGGTTCATCCAGTCAACATTACGCAAGTACTGGGGTAGACTGGAGGCATAACGGACACTCTCCTCCCGAAACCTTCTGAGGCATGGCTTTTTGGTGTTGATGGCTGTAGTTGGGGATTTGAGAGTTACATTGTCAGCCAGTGAGTTTGCTGGCAAAGAATATCTTTTGATAGGCAAGGGTGGGGGGACATGAGATTCGTGATTCTCATGTTCTCTGGAATTGGAACATTCAGAGTTGGTAACAGTATTTGGGACAACCACAGGAAAGCTGTAGCGGTCTAAAAGGAAGCTGATAGCCATGGAGTCAGCTATGTCTGGGTTAGTAGCAGTTGACAGCTTGTCTGCTTGGTAGGTGATGGCCTCATCATCCAGGCCAGGGTGTGACCACATGTGCAGTGTGTAGGGCCCCTGGCTCAGAACAGACCTGCAGGGATAGGTGGTGTCCCGTGTTGAAACACCGTGTAAATAATAGTTAGTTTTACAGTACTGCAAGAAATGTCTCGACGTTCTCTCAAATGAAGAATATAAGAGCACAAACTGAGATGTCAGATGGAGTAATAATAAATACACATATGTAATAAATAAAACATAAATTAATAAATGAATAATAAATAGAGACCTCAAAACCAATGTTGACACTAAGGTTGGCAACACATGCATACACACAAGTATATGCATCTGTTACCCAAATGTTATCAACATTTTGTAGTTGTAAATAAAACCACGCACATGGACACACATGGATTTGTAGCAGTTGCAAAAGACTGGGTCCCTACTTCCAAACAACCTACTTCATGAACTGATTAGACTTGTAACTCTTGTCCAGATACTGTGAAAGGATGAAATTCGGCTAACTCAGAAATTTCACACCTGTTAAAATTCCATACTAACATCCTATTTAGCGCATTCAAATATTAAAGTTTCTTGTGTGCCTGAAATGTATCACGGCAAAACCTGTAATAGACACGCACCATGTCATTTGATGCTCTGCCTCTCAAAAGCAGGAAATGTACACGAATGCAGAAGTTGCAGTAAGCTTCAGTTACAGCAGAGGGTTTTATTTTATTTTAAGCCAACAAAAAATTCATTAATAAAAGCATTTACACAGACATTACTAACACATTTACACGTAATACATATAAGCCACCTAGCTTTATCGGTTAATCATAGGTCACTAGCGACTTTATGGCTTTAAATATATTATCTCCCCCTGCTGGTACTGAAAAGCGTGAAATGGACACGGTCGACCGGCGTGCCTATTACATGCTTTGCCGTGATATTGTGGTGTAGTACACCAAATGGAAAATAACCATGTGCAAGAACTGGGCACTGAAATGGCATAAACATCCAACAATGCAACTTTTGTGTGTATTATCTTTGTAAAATGTTTGTCATTGTTACTCAGATTTGTGGTGTTACCATGGTATCATATTTTGGATATTATTGGTATACTTAATTAATAACTGGCTAACACTACAAACTAAGCATGACTTGACAGGAGAGCAGAGATTTTTAAATGACAGTTTTATAGCTAACTGCTTATGTATGTTTTTCCCTTATACTGTTAATAAAGATATTTTTGGTTAAATAAAAACAAAAATCCGCACCTGTGATCTATGAGGAGTAGGTTGACAAAGTAGAGCACTTTTCCTCTCCCTTTCAGCAAGTCTATTGTTTTGTTGCTTGAAGGCGATGGGACTTTTGTTGCTGCAGACATGTCACTAGGACTTTCGTTAATAGTGAGACCCAGCTTAGCTCCACGTGGCAGATCCCTAAGAAGAACATCAAAGTCCAGCCACTCATTCCACAGCACTTCATCTGAAAGGGGCTTGGGAATGGAGGACACTGAAGAGAGGACCTTGTTACCATGGAGTATGGATGCTTCAACATAAACAGACTGAGGGCATTTGCTTGGAAGTTGTGGGATATCAAATCCAAGCAATTTGACTCTGAAATTTCTGTTGCAGTCCCACAAGGATATCATGAAGATGTCATCCAAATCCTTCCCTTTAAGGCTGAGATCATTGTGGGAACTGAACTGGCCGCTAAAACCATCAACAAGTGGCCAGTCCACAAATTTGACAGCCTCCGAGGGAAGCTGCGACACGGGGACAACAAAGAGGTGAAGCTCTTGGTTGGTTTTCAGGCACTGTCGCACCCAGAGGAAATCGTTCAGGGCGTAGTCTCCAGATAAAAACTCCTCCCTGCCTGCAACTTTCAACACGAGATTGTCAGGCCCATCGTATTTAATCCCTCGGTCATTCATCACCCTTTCAAAAACTTTAAGAAGTAGTTGTGGTGTTGTGCTGAGGTCAGCCTTTATGCTGAAGCTGATCCTGCTCATGTAGTGGAAAGTGACAGGAAAGTCTCTGTTCTGCCATTCTTGTAGTTCTTCTGGTAAGGCGGTATGCGTTATCCAAGGCTCTGTGGCATACAACTTGTCATCCCGTTTCTTCAGCTCTTTTTTCCTAGCAGATGCCAGTTTCCGACGGGTGAAGGTGAGCTCACCAAGTCTATCAGATGCTTCTTTCTCCAGGTCATGTCCGATCAGATAAGTCAGGCACTGCTGTTGTTTCTCGTTCTCCTCTGGATCAACTGCCACAGGCGGTTTTACTATTATGCGTGCTGATAGGCAATGAGGGTCATTACGTGACCATGGAATGTCTAATGTCCTGATAACCTGACAGTCATCGTAGGCTTCATACCAGTCGCCACCCCTGGCATAGAGCAGGCTGTATTTCTCGGGGTCCAATATTGCAAAAGGGTCTGGGTGGCAGTTTTGCTCCTGTGCCTGGAGGCATAGAGTCATATACATGAAAAAATAAATACATACAATTTTTGATTACTGTAGTCTGAATATAGTGTTGCGCAAATGTCTTGATCATTTCATTATATTTTGCTCCAAAGAACAAGAAGATGAGATAACACTTTATTGATCCCACGGCGGGGAAATTTGTGCGTTACCTCAAGCTGGGAGCTGAGTAACAAGCTGCCTACTGTGGCGGCATCTTGGAAAAAAAATGCTTCCTTATAATTGTTTTTTCGCCAGGGTTTCTGAAATTCTTGTAAAACCTTTCTTCGTTTTTAACAGTACTGTAAATGCTTAAGCATGAGGCACACTGACAGCTATACTGTAAATAGCTGATAGTGGGACTATGCAATACCATGTCATATGAGCATGCAATCTTAGTTTAGCATATTAGCTAACATTTGCCTTTTAGCTAAAAATACATAATATTTTAGAAGCCAGCTAAATCAGTTGATAGTTCCCATGTACGGTTTGACGATAAAGCAACGTAGAAACTTCTTTTAGCTGCTTCCTTTTTCACAGAGGGTGACTATGAGCTACAGATATTTCATTTGGCAGATTTTTATATTTAATGTATTTCCTGATTCAACCACAAAGGTAAATGGACTGTTTCTTATATAGCGCTTGTCTACCTGCGTGCTTTAGACAACTTGCCTGATTCACTTATAAACTTTTTTAAATGTTTTTTCCTCCATAAGAGCTTTCTATCTAACATTCACACAAATTCAGTGGGTGCACCAGAGTGCAACTTGGATCCAGTCTCCTTGCCTGAGGATATTTGGCATGGAGACTGAAGCAGCCGAGAATTCAACCACCAACTTTAGTTGATGACCCACTCTGCAGCCACCCCAAACAAGGGATGGACTTAGTTATGGGCACATGTGTTATTGACTGTAATGAATTTGCTACATCCTTAATCATACTCTGTTTTATTGTTTATTGTACCCTCAGTGAGACCATAATGTTCTTCGTACTGTACTAGCAAACCAAAAGCTCAATGGGAAAATGTTTACTAAGGTGAACCTCACATTTATTGACTTCTCTAAGTTTGAATTTATTTTGCGAACAGACCAGTCTGCACCGCACCCACCCCAGAGCACCAACTTCCATTATAAAGAAACTAGTTTTTAGGAACTGCGCTATCAATTTCACTTTATAGACCCAGAACTACATCCAACACAGTCTATGAGAATAAAAGGAAAACATCCTTTGCACGATAGACCACTCAGTGCAGGTTTACATACCTCCATACAGATGCGTAGCCTCAATTGGTAGACACTACACTGTGCAGGGAGGGTGACTGATATCGGCTCGCAGCCCATGCTGATATCCTGATCCTCATCACCAGGCTTAAATTCACAAATAAACTTCAGGGTGTTCTCAAAGCAGCCTTGGGTAGACAGTCTTCTTACACTGTCTATAGAGTGTGGACGGGTTGGCCGATTCACAGCAGCATCCATTGGGACTTTAAAGAGAGCCAAGCTTTAACAAAACTCTGATTTAAAAAGAAAAACTCATACAAAGGCTGGTGCTGATTAGTTTGGGTCCTCTGGTGGAGCGCACGCAACTCTGCTTATCTGACAATGTAACAGTGTGTATTCCCTTTTTGTGACTGCTCGGAGACTTCCTCATTCTTTTGTGCTTCAGTTCTCAAACACCAGTGATGTTATTATTAATAGCAGAACATTTACTGACAATGTAACATAGGTAACTTCCTTATTCTTTTTTGTACTCCAGTAACAAATTATAATAGCTATTCTGACATTTTCACAACTAAGTATGGACAACATGCTACAGTAAACGCTCCTGGACTAATACTGTTTAAGAGGGAAATGTCAACTTCTGCAATTTAATCACAAATTAAACAGGTCAAGCTGGGCAGAATTACTGTTTTTTACAGTAATACACCAAACCTGTTTGGGTTGTTTGGCTTTCTGTTCTGTGTAGAATGTGTTGGTCTACTGGTTAAAATAGCTGAAAGGTGTCAGTCAGTATTTTTAAATGTTGTTTACTTTACTCTACTCTTACTCATATCATTTACTGAACTACACTCCATCAAACCATGCTATTGTTTTGTATGCAGCACAGAGCAAATTCAAAGCCTTTGTAGATACAAATCAGTAAAAAAAATAAAATTGGTAAGAGTTTCCTGAAAAGTGCTCGATAGTTGTTTGGTTATTATTGTTATTGTTGTGGAGGCTAATATTAAAAACTGAGAATAAGAATAGGATGAAGACATAGTACAGTATTTCTTTCAGGATAAATAATCACCGTAACAAAATGAAACTAAAAACAAGTTTCCAATAATTTATAGACACAGTTACCATTCAGCCACAAACATGACTCAAGAAGGGGGAGGGTGTAGAGGCTGGACTGGAACTGGGCCAAAGACTGCCAAGCAGCTGAAGTCATTTTCCCGCCAGGAGGAAGAAAAAGACCGGCTCAACAACTAGTGTGACGCGCATGGGTGTCATATGATTAACTTGTACCTTCAGTTCAGTACTTCCCTTTGGAGGGTTTGAACACTGCTTAATGAATCACTAAAAGTAGTTTCATGGGAGAAAGAACATCTCAGAGATGGGTTGATTTGGAGCTGAATAATGAACATTTAGTTATCATGTGTTATTGGACACTCCAACAAGAAGGAAAATGACTTTATTTTATTCTCAGTGCTTTATTACAGAAATGCTGTGACAATCAAATTAGTTTGCCCTTTTGGGGAATTTAGCACATCTAAAAGTACTTTCAGCTACTCCGTTATTTTCCAAGGGCCTGCACCAACAAATGTATCCCTATTTTGATTTCCACTCCATTCCCACCCCGACGCAATCTTGTCATGTATCTGGGGGTACACTAACTAACTTGTGTCGCTTTCTGATCTCAAACTGTGGTTCGTTTACATGCAAGGTAAACATGTTAACCTGCACACCATGAGACCGCAGCAAGTTTGGCCGACCTATTAGTGTAAAATCTGCTTAAATATCGAGTCAGAATTATGCCAGAAGCTTGTTGATGGCTACCAAAAGCATCCGGTTGAGGTGCAACTTACTAAGAATCATCACAACTGTAAGCATGTATACAATCTGTTCAACATTATACTTATGTAACAAAATTACATGAAACATTTGCATACAATCAAATAACTTAAACAGTCAGTCATCTTTAAAAGCTAAACTTGCATGAATTGAGGTAAATGTACTAATTTAAGTAATTCCTTCTTTTGTCAGTGATCTCTGTAAAAAACCTATAAAATGTCAGCGTACAGATACGTTAATTTCACATGCTTGTCGTGCAGACACAAGACGACCATTGATCAACTGTTTTCAACCATTTTAATAATTTCCTTTTAAAGATGACACACATCTGTAACAAATGAATTCACAGTATCTTCACAATAGTGCTTTAACACAATCCAAACAGAAATCTAATCATATAATTACCTGCTAATTTTACGAAGCAGATTTTCTTCGTATGGGTATACCTTATTTTTTAAGGGTTTTAAGAATGCAGGTTTTACTGATCTTGTTGTCTGATGTGACACTTTGTTTGCCATCAGGTCTTCGTGTCATCATAATGCGTTTTGTAATTCCTGATTGCAGTGTGAAAATACTTCTTTGCAGTTTTATATACTAGGGAGTAGGTATGAGAACACCTTGCAGTGCTTTGATTAATCTGACTGCCAAATAAGTTACAGTTTTGACCTGCAGGAGATCCTAAATAGTTCAATAGACACTGTCACAACGCCTCTGTATGGAGGCTAAAGCTGGAAAATCATAACAGTAACATGGTGATGATAGAATAACGTGTAAATCAATTACACTTGCTCATTTGAGGATTAATATTTCACTTTAAAATATCAACAATCAGCAGTTAACAATTATGATTGAAAAATCTTCAACAACAACTGAACTGGCTAAAGGATTGATTTAAAACACACATTTGGATGTGACTGATTTACAATGTAGCAACAATTCATGTACGTAACAGCACATTTTATAAGCAAGGTTATCACCAACATTTTTTAAAATTGAGAAACAGCAATGTTGATGACATCCCTTTTTTAAACTTTAGCTGTCTGTTGTTGAGTTCCTTTGCATTCGTATGGTCTCAGTGTATTTTTGCCATAAAGACCCAACACTTCCTGAAAATAAGCTGACACAGTTCCCTAACTTGTCAAGACACATTTGAAATGGTACAACACATAAAAACTAGCCATGCTACAACACATGTAACCGCGGTGTAATAAAAAACTAATCTGCTGTTGTTGGTTAAACAGGGAGGATAGGTGGCAAAACGACCCTTCAAACAAACACAGTCAACATTTATGTTTTTGTTCGCAAAAAATGAGTCTTCCGCATACACTCAAAAGATATTTAGAGACAAAATGCTGACTTTAAGTCATTTGATTACATGTAAGGTTTTGGAATGCAATCTTGAAAACTTTTCCAAAGTTTTACATGTAAACCTTGGAAAAATTAAAGCTCATTCTGGACAAACAGGAATGTAAAATGAATAGTTTGCTGTTTTAAAGTAATTTACAGTCCTTAACTTGATGAACGACAACATTTTTGTTATGTAACCAGGCAACTCTCTCCAGACCTTGTTCAGACTAAAATAAGGCTAATTATCAGTGCAGAAAAAAAAGCCTGCATCTTGCAAATCTGGCAAGACACGATCAATGCTGAAAGATTTACACAGGTTCCAGAGCAAAATATCAGATCTTTTTAAAAGAAAGGCCTTGCATAGTTCAGCCAAACAGTCATGGCTTTGTAGTGAATGAGTGTGGGCGTTGAACTGCGGGCCTGCAGGCCACACCTTTTACCAGCTGAAAACATTTGTTGCATCATGAAACTATGACAGCGCAGCCTGCTTTGATATGTTTGATATCTTTTCTTTCTTCTATCAAGAATAAAATACAGGCTTGCAAGATTTTCAAATCATAGGTACAGTCGCTTTCTTGCTGAACAGTGAAATGCTGTCCGATGACTTTGTGTGAATCTGCAGATGATTTCCTGTTCATACATAAGAGCTGTAGCTTAGCCTAAAATACATCTCTTAATTCTTTATCAACTTTGTACATTTGGACATGACAAGAACACTTAATGAAGGGTCCATTCCCTTTCAGCTCTTTCTCTGCTGAGGTAAACCTGCTCAAATAAAAGAGAAGGCTAGGTACTGTAATGAACAATTTCAACTCAAACAGAATGTGCTGTAATCAGGTTATTTCTGGCCTGCAAATCAAAACTCTATCTGAAGTTGCTTATATGCTTCAAAAAACAGAAAACACGGTACAAAAATGCTCCCACGTGACAGGTGGCGTGCAGACCTAAAGAAGAGTGTCTGCAACGGTGAGGCACTGATGCTTTGGTGTTGCCACCAGCCTGCTGACTGACCACACAAAGCGCAAAATATTTCTGAAAGCACTGCAGCTACTTTAAAAAGAGGATGTCCTTCAACTCCTGCAGCATTTGGCCACAGCTTTCATTTGTCATCTTTTGAACACAGTATAAACACACGTATAAGCGACACGACACAAAGCTACTTTAATATCAAAAGCTAACGCGATCACTGCAGGGACTTGTGCTCCTCACACACATCACAGGTGTTACGGGGAGTACGCTACCTGGTTCTCCGCTGCAGCCTCTCTTACCTTAGAGCAGGGGTGTGCAACATAAGGCCCGGGAGCCAGAGTTAGCCGGCAAATACTCCAATCCAACTCACTAAACAGCTTCGGAAAATGTCACAAAGGGCATCGACTTCAGACTTTTGTATTGTCATAGGTTTTACAAGTTTTCCTACACTGTTAAAAAAAACATCTTAAAAAAACAGTAATATTCCAGCAGCTGGGGTGCCAAAATACTACCGTAAAATAACAGAAAATAACTTCCTCATAAAAATATGGTTATTTCCAGTAATGACAATACAGGTTGTTGCGCTAATTTTACATGGGATTCTGCCTTTTCCAAGTGCGTTTAGACATTAAATTAGGAACATTTTAACGTGATCAAACAATGAAATTACCTATAAACAAGGTCAATGAATGTGGCAATATGAATCATAATACGTAAATGTACAGAAATATAGAGTTAACAGTTGGTTTAAATAATAATGGATTGTATGCCCTGGGTCAGAGGCAAGGCTGCCATATCACACCATCGGCCCCTCACCAGTAGGCAAAGAGTCTTGACCACGGACACAATACTGAGAGTGTCTGAGCCGGGGCTCGAACCGGCAACCTTCTGATCATAAGGCAAACTGCCAACTCTTGAGCCACGATTGCCCTAAATAGCAATGATAATAATACTTATGTGATGTAACACAAGCTTATAGGAATCACGTTATATACTTTTCCATAGCATTACATTTGAATTCAACAGTTCAATCTTTCAAATAACGGACAGATATTTGTGAAATCATGATACATTTGTGAATGTATTTTAACAATCTAAATATGCATATGTACAGACAGATACATTTAATAATCATGGCAATTATGTTTTATTACATTACAGTGATTTAACGTTAATTTACATTGGAAATGTGAAATCACAGTCTATTTACGTAACTTTAATGATATTCTAGAAGAACAGA